TAAGTTTCACCTCAAGAGTTTATGACTGAAGCCTAACAATTTGCATTTTGATAAAAATTTGAACTTTGAAACACATTGCCTATTCATTGATTCTCTTATAAGATGAATTAGACAAAACAATTTTCCATGACAAAAGACTTTCCTGCCCAGGCTAAAACAAAGTTATCTGTTAGCTTATTGTGTATGTACAACTGTGTGTGTATCTGCATCCGTAGCTTTATGTGTGTATGTGAATGTATAATCACTCACTTTACCATGATCACTTAGTCACTGCTAAAATGAAATGTCTCATACAACAAATATTTGTGAATTTAGTTCCCACTAATGTGGAATTTATCCAGTTTTAAAGACTGTTAAATTTTGATATAAACAAAGGGAATCTATGTCCCTGAAGAAAATAAATTCAGATACTCAAGAATCATATCTGAGTCACTGAAATACTATCTACTAGTTTACACATATACAATAGTGAGTTGCCTATAGAAATCAAGGCTTTTCTAGCCTGTGGCCTTCATCCAAGGATAGCTATGAATGTATCTCAAATCATAAACATTGTCAGATTTTGGTAATATGATCACAGGGTTCTTAAATACAATTTTGTAGATTACCATATCATGTAATGTCAAAAGGTTGGACACCTAGAGGTTTTTCACAGCCATATATTACAAACATACATATATAAAGTGTTTATGATGTATAGTTGGGTATCAAAAAATAACAGAAATATGTGAATTAAGTTGTCTCGATGTTTTTAACAGTACTAAAAATAGGACAATAATAGTTTTCTACCTTGATCCATTCATTAATCAAACCCACTATGGTTCTGCTAGATTTGCTAAGAGCTAGTACCATTTAGTAAATTAATACATGAAAACATAAAGTAAACATTCAGAACTTACTCTATTAATGGTGCTCCATATAGAACAAAGATGATATGAAGGAAAAAACAAGACAAAAGGAAGTAGATGCAACATTTCAAAACTCTGGTCACCTAAAAGAGAATGGAGAAGCTGAAGACTCAAGAGACTACTTAAAAAGCCACAAATTCTGCCATTTTACACACAAATATAACTTGTTCCCATAACGTCTGAAACAGCTGGACACTCTTTGCTGGATAACTTCAAATCCGATCACATCTTATTGCATGCATAGCCCTCAAAACAGACTGCAAAAGACTTAAGAGACAGGGCCAGCAAGACGGTTCAGCAGGTGAAGGCCCTAGCCTCCATGCATGATGACCTGAGAACTACTCTTTGACCTCAATATGGAAGCTGTGTTGCATGTATATACACATATACATACACATACACACACACTAAATAAATAAAATGATTTTTTTTAATTTAAAAGACAAGTATCACACAAATATACTCCATCCCACAATAGCATAAAAGCCAAAATTGATTTGTATTTATGTGGTTTGATTATAATACTATTAATTCTTAAGAAATGCTGATAATAGTGTTAGGATACAAAAACCACAGCAACCTTATTATATAAAGATACATGAATTATCTACAGAGAATAATGAGTACTATACTTTTCTTTCATTATAAAACAAAACTGGGGAAATTATATCAAAAAAGCAAAGTACTAAATAATTTCCAAAACCATATTCATATTGCTGTATAAACAATATTTTTTTAAAAAGACTTGAACATCTACAAATAGGTCCATGCCTAGAACAAACTTGATCTGAAACTCAAGACAATATAATTACAAGGCACATATTAATGTTTTGAACTGAAAGTCAGTTAAGGTGTTGAAAACACTCTGATAGGGAATTATACATAGTATTGAATGTTCAGTGACGATTTTAACTTAACATAATTGTCAGGTGTCATAGAACAGTGACTATTCTGGAAAAATATTGACTCTAATATCTGAAAACTTTTAACTGTTTAGTTAAGGAAGGCCACATGTGAAATAATGGTTATGATTTAATTTGCAATTTCTGGAAAACTCACTTCTTATTTAAAGAGGGCCTCGACCCCTAGCTGAGGGAGCTATTGATAGCTGATGACTATTAAGGTGAAGAAAGTCAGTTATCCTTAGGAATGTGATCCCTGGTGGGTTCACCATGCTCCAGTGGATGTCCCACATCTGTGCAGACGCAGAACTCTGGAGGCTATAATAATAACAACAACAAAAAAGATATATAGTTGGGCAGAGATTAGGAGTAGAGTAGGGAATGGATATAATAAAAAAAATTGTATGCCTGTATGAAGTTATCAAAGAATAAAAAAATAAAATTTTTAAATATACATGGACTGGGGGAACACCTCAGTCAATAAGCAACAAGGACCTGAGTTGATTCCTAGAGCTCAGAATAAAATGCTAGATATGGGGCATGCTTGAAATCCCAGCACTGGGGAGAGACAGACGATCTCTGGGGCTCATTGGCCAGCCAGTCTAGCCTAATTGGTGAGCTCCAAGACAATGAATGACCCTGAGCAGAGTGGAGATGGACAGTGTTTCTAAAGATGACCTCCAGCCTCCTCATGCATTTACACAGTGTAACCCAACCACCCACCCCAACACATAAAAAAAGTATGAAAATAAACTGCATTGTCTTCTAAGTTACCTTCAGTGATGATATAAAAAAAAGATTATACAGAGTCATATTTATATTGTGATGCATTAAAGGAGCCATAATTCCACAATTAATACATAACCAAGATCTATCAAACATTGTAGGTGACAGGCTACTGCTTTTGCAGGGGTGAAGGGGTGGACTTGGTTCCCTTTATATGCTGTAAGTAACTCAATATGCATGTAACAATACTTCATTCTTTGTTTTGTTCTTTCAGGACAGGGTTTCTCTGTGTAGCCTTGGCTCTCCTAGAACTCACTCTGTAGACCAGGATGGTTTTGAACTCAAGGAGATCCACCAGCCTCTGCCTCCCCAGAGGTTAAAGGCAGGCGCCACCACCAAGCACAATGCTTCTTTCTTCCACTATCACTTCCCTCTCAAAACTGTTTATCAATGAGTAAACCTTACCTTGTGTGATAAGGAACTTCTTCTAGAAGACACATTTGCTTTCACTACTAAATGCAACAGGAGATTGACACCGGTCACAGAAGCAGAACACATGCACAGCCAGGCCAGGTGAGTTTCCAGTATTGAGAAGTCATCCAAGAAGAGGGATGGGACAAAAACACTTAGAAAAACTGAAAACACGCACAAAAGATTGGAATACAGCAGTCTCTTGATATCAGTATCTTTCATGGTGTTTTCTTGGGTAGCTACCTAGTAGAAAACAAATTAAGAAAAACATGTAATGATTTTTCTCCATGTCCCAAACACTTCAATACTCTAAAAATAAACCTTTTACTAATAATTTCCTATGGGCAATAAATTTGTTTCAAAGCATAGAAGACAGAGTTGATATCCTATTACTTTAGATTTTTCTAATATGCTACAAATATCTTTCAGAGCCTTAAAAATTCAATAAAAATTTAAATATTCATGACTGACTTCTAAAAAGACAATTAAGCAACTAATTTTACTTTTTCTCTCTTTTTTTGGCCAAAATCATTTGGATATGCAAATGACATTGAGAACAACAGTTAGATGGTCAGTATGTTAAACTAAGGACTCCCAAGTCTCCTGGAAAAACAAAATAACACTGTCACAGACGCTAAGTTCTAGTCAAAAAGCAGAGCATGAGTAGGAGAAACAAACGTCCATGGTCTCTAAATATGTATATTTGATCTAATTATATGTTATATTGGTTAAAATTAAGAAAGAACGTAAAATAATACATGTTATGTTACATGGTGGCAAAAATACCGCCCAAGCAGACATCCACACAGCAGGGAAGAGAACTGACCTGAAAGGTAAAAGTACAAGTTTGGGCATCGTTCTATCAACCCTCGTTTATAATCCACACAATCGTTTTCAAAGGCAAATATGATACTGATTAAGCAAACTGGAGGGACAAGTTTGCAGACACGGCCAAGGTTACATACACTAAAGCCATTTCAAGCAGAGCCTCCTCAACTTGAATACATCCTGCAGGGGTTATAGATAGCAAGAAAAGACTTGGATGAAGAAAAGATTTGGACGAAGTTTCTCGGGCTCCTCCCGAGAGGCAGGGGCAGGGGGTCCGGAATCCATGCACTGAGTAGAGGACACTTGTGGCCACCTGCAGATCCTGTTCTAGTACAGCGAGCGGTACCAAACGCCGCGGCTTGCTGGATGCAGCCCTGACTCCGAAACCGGCGGGCCCCTGTGGAAGCTACCAACTGGAGTCACCATCCGACGCGAGCTGGTCGGAAGGCGCGGCTGCTTCCGAGCCCTCCTTTGCCCAGGTGCGGAGCGCAGCTCAACCCCACCCAGGCTGGCTCGGGATGCTGCCCCAACCTCGGGCGGCTGGAGCGTGGGCAGTGAGGGGCGGGGAGACAGAAACAGAGACACACAGAGAGAACGAAAGGAGAGGGGGAGAGACAGAGAAAATGAGGAGAAAGGAAGATGAGAGGAGAGAGGAGAGAGAGAATGAGAGGAGAGAATGAAAGGAGAGAATCAGAGAGAGCGAGCCCGCGCTGCCCACCCGGGTGACCGGACAGTGCCGGACAGAAGCCGGGACCCCAGAGGGTCCGTACCGCGCGCGGACATCCTCTGATCCGCATGAAGCGTGGCGCTCCGGAGGCCACCGCGGCAATCGGCAGAGCAGCCTGCACCCGCCCCGGGAGAGCGTGAGAAGCCTGCCGCCGGCTTACCTAACTCTCCCGCCCGCCGCAGGGAAGGAAGGGGACACCACCGCCTCCCACCTTCCTCAGGTGCGACCAGCTGCCATGACCCACGCGCAGGCGCAGACCCAGGAGGTGGGGCCTCCCAAGCCCACAGCCAATCGTTAGAGAGCAGGGCCGGGACAACGAACGAAGCTCCACCCACCAGTCCTCGTTGGTCCTTCCCGCGGCTTTCCCGGGCCATGATAGGCGGGAGCCGGAAGCGGCAAGAGCGGAAGTGAGGTGACGTAGCCGGAAGGGGAAGCGTTCTCCGGCTGTGTTGTTGATGTCTTTTGGCGGCCGCTCCCGCTTAGGCGGTTGAGGGGACGGATCGAGGGAGAATGGTGTGCGAAAAATGTAAGTCAAGGGGCCGGTGTTGTGGGAGGAGGAGGCCGGAGGAACTTGACGAAATTCCCACGAGATCTCGGCCTTTGCTGCTTCTGCTTGGGTCTGTGGCTGTGACCTCTGTCTTCCCTCCCGTCACTCTTGCGGGTCCCAGGGACTACGTAGCTCGATGCTTTGTGTTCACAATGGTGTCAGGCCTGCACCTCGATGTTGCCTTCCTTCCGCGTCTCTTCAATTGCAGCTTCCTGACTTGGCTAGAAAGCTTAAAACGGATTTTCGAAATCTTCCCGGTAGCACCGAGAGTTTGCCCGGTGTAGCAAGTATAAATTTCAAAGGCTCTCAGTTAACGCTTTAAGATTTCTAGGACTATTCATAAGTCCCGTGAAGTATTTATATCTTGACCTTTTTTGTCGTTCCTTACCAAAAAAAAAAAAACAAAAAACCTGCAACATTTAATACAGGTTAATTTTGTACCATCCCGTCCATTCTTTTCATTAACACCCACAGCATTGGGTCAGGGGAAGGAGAAAGTCTCATCATTGTAGTCACCTTGGCTTTTAGAAAGGGCTCCTTAACCCTTTTAGTTATCATTCAACAATTCTAAGGAAACCCGTGAGATTTGTTGAAAATATTTGATTTCTTTTAACCGTAAAAACTGTTGATTTGGTGGCACACGCCTTTAATCCCGGCACTTGGGGGGGGCAGAGGCAGAAAGATCTCCACGAGTTCAAGGCCAGCTTGGTCTACAGAGTGAGTTCCAGGACAGGTTCCAAAGCAATACAGAGAAACCCTGTCTTGAAAAACAAAAAAAAAAAAAAAAAAAAAAAAAAAAAAAAAAAAAAAAAAAAAAAAGAAAGAAAGAAAGAAAGAAAGAACTTTCCTATCTCAATCTCTTTTCCTCGGGCTTGACACAAGATTCCAACTCTGTATCCCAATTATTGTATATTGTCCGTGATCCGTTTTGATCCCCTTCAATACATAATACGATGGGCACAGACAGCCCCAAATAGCTGAAAATACGGGTGTGCACCATCAGGTGAGTCTCCATCCATAAACAGCATTTTAAAAAATTCTTTTTGAAAGTGGGAAAGATGTTGATTAAATGAGGCTTAAATGTATTTATGTTGTGTGCCTACCCGGGTTTTGTTGTTGTTGTTTTGTTACTTTGTTTTTTTTTTGGGGGGGGTGTTTGTTTTTCCTGACAGGGCTTCTCTGTATTGCTTTGGAACTCACTATGTAGACCAGGCTGGCATCGAACTCACAAGAGATCCACCTGCCTCTGCCTTCTGAGTTCTAGGATTAAATACATGCACCACCAACGCCAGCCCGTGTACCTACTTTTTTATGCTGTGTCATTTGAGTTTTCTTTGTAATTTTTTCAGCTTTGTACATTTAATAGTAGATGACAAAGGTTCTGTCTATTTGCACTTGTTTGTAATTCCTTTTGTACTTTAAGTGCTTTGTCCCAGTAGACATTGAGGAAATTGTCAGTTAATATCTCCAAGGAACATAAACATTTTGAGAGTCCAAGATTCATTGTGGTGTCAACATAAAATGCACATACTTTGGACTTTAATGTATTCTGTAAAAGGTCATCTCCTGCTACTGCTATTTACTTCTCTGTTTTTCAGGAAAAACAATCTGAAGTTTTCTTGTTTTTAGCCTCCTAGTCTGCTCATCATACTCACCCTGCTCATACAACACTGTAATGTCTGGCAGCCACCACAGTTCTGTCTTTCCTTGTGTCATACATTGTTCAAAAAAGTTGCCTCCAGGTTTTTAGAGTTAACTTCTTACAATTTTAGAAGTACAAACTGACTTTCCATTCTACTAAGAGAACTTTTAAACTTATACCAGTTGTTTTCCATTTACTAAGTTCCAGGAAGTTTTTCTGTATTATTTCTATTTTGTTGTTGTTGTTTGGTTTTGGTTTGGTTTGGTTTGGTTTTGCTCTACTCTATTTCTCTGGCTCCATTAAGTCTTTGGGTAATGTTTGGCCTCAGCTAGCACATCCATACCATTGAGTATCAAATTCACTTCTTCACTCTGACCTTTTCCCTACTTAAACAGTAAGAAATAACTGTCTATTTTGGATGTTTGAAACCCTTAACAGATAAGACCCTGGCTTACCCTTCTTAACCTCATTTCCACCACTGTTTACCCCTGTGACACTTGAGTTAACCAAATTACCTTAGGTCTGATGTACACCCCGAACTTTCCATGCCTTTCCCTTTATTTATGCAGTTTGACTTCATCTTCTTCATATTTGCATTGCCAGATGCTTAAACTGTCTCAGCTCACAATTATTATACTTTATTTTCCAGCTTATATTTTTACTGAAGGATTCTTAACTTTTTTAAAAGTCTCTGATTACTTTGAAAATCTGATGAATGCTGATATATATATATTTAAGGAAAAATTAGAAATACACATTAGATTTGTATACAGTTCCATCTGGTTTATTTATTTCCTATGATTTGCCTATAAGCTCTTAAGAAACTAGTGAGTGAACTTTGGTATAAGCCCCCTGAAATCTAGATTCATGGTTTTATTTTCACCATTATCTTGCATATGTTTTGTACATACTAGGTAGTTAGGAAATGAGTAAGTTTGTCAGAATTGTTAAAAGTACAGTGAAAGCATCTTATTCTGAATCAGTTGTGCATTGCCCACAGTTACTATCTTAAGTCTTCGTTCATGGTTTCCACCCCAGTTAGTGGGTTCCTACTATAGTCTGACTTGATATCATTATGAGCCTCAGGCATGATATAGTATATTTATTTATTATTTTAAAGTTAGAAAGAAATGGGCTCGTTCTTTAATTTCCACATAGTATGTTTATTAGGTAATAATTCTACATGCTTTTTGCTATCTTGCCACAACAGGTGAAAAGAAACTTGGCACAGTTATTACTCCAGATACATGGAAAGATGGTGCACGGAACACCACAGGTATTGCTTCCTGTTAGGAAGTAGGAACTGGATCAGTTACTTGTGGACACTGCTTTAGTGTTTCGCTATTAGTAAAATGAAATGTTAAATGCAGCTCATCTCATTGATTAAACACTAAAGAGTACTGGGTTCCCCTGTGATTTTATATCTTCTTTTCCATCATGAGTTACATATGTCAATTTTTCATATAGTCAAGAAGTTGTAAAATTATTAAATTATTTCAATGTGTGTCAATTTGATTCAGCTTAGTAAGGTCTGTATTTAAATTTCCTTCCCACATCTAAATTGTATGTTCTTGAACAAATTCAAACTATTTTCACTAAACAAATGCAGCAGGCTAGGCATGTTGATGTACACCTTTAATCCCAGCACTTGGGAGGCAGAAGCAGGCAGATCTCTTGAGTTCTAGCCCAGGCTGGTATATACTTTGAGTTCCAGGATAGCCAGTGCTACACTGAGAAACCTTGTTTCTGAAAAACAAGCAAAAAAACAGACAAAAAACGTAAACTGCAAAAAATATATTCAAAAATTCAAAAGTGGGGGAAACCCAATGTTTTCCTGTATTCAGTCTATGCTATCATTGCCAAAACACTACTTTGAGACTAAGTAATAAAGTAATTATATTTTATGCAAGTATTTATTAAGAACTGGACTATTATATGAGATTTTTTAAAAAAATCAGATAAAGGATATTTATTGGTAGAAAGTCAGAGTGAACTTTTAACTAATTCCTGGGCATTTATTATATGTGTGTGTATGTGTTTGTATAATTTAGCATATGTTAGATGTACAGAAGTAAATTTATGTCTGCTTTTTTTATATATGTAGAAAGTGGTGGAAGGAAGCTGAATGAAAACAAAGCTCTGACTTCGAAAAAAGCAAGGTAGGTGAGAACATCCTTATGGATCCTGTAGGATACCATATTTACATAGTAGAAAACCATTCAAAGGGATTATGCCTGTCAGCTACTAAAATTAATAGTCATTCGGAGATGTACATACCATGTTTTATCTTAACACATAAACTGTTGACATATTCATCTACCATTGGATATAGAGGTAAAATCTGACAGGAATTTTATGTCATTTTCCTCACATAAACCATCACCAGAATATATACTCTGCACCTCAGTGAAACAAAAACTAAGCTAGGTGTGATGCTTATGATTCCAGTGCTCAGAGGCTGGTGATAAAAGAATCAGGAGTTCAGGGTTATCCATCCTGGGTTTACAAAAACAAAAAGGCAAGGAATTGGTCCTAGGAGAGATGGCCTGAGCTCTGTTCTCAAGACCACCTGTAACCTAGGCTCGGATGGACCCAAACGCTCTGGCCCCCATAGCTGCTGCACACACGTGACATACATGCATACACAAACACACACCATGTTTGTAATGTTTTAGTAGTTGGCTTACCCATACCCAGTTCAATAGTAGTTATAACAGTTCATAGTTAGTCATCCTAAAGCACTTACTTAGATTTTTTTTTTTTTTTTTTTTGTAGAATCAGTCATTTTACTCACATTTCATCAATTTTCACATTTGTCACACAAATAGAATTACACCTACAAGTGATAGTAATGGGACTGAAAATAAATACAGGCATATTACACAGTAGTGAGCCAGAGGAGGGCTGTCAATTACAGAATTTGATGGGAGAAATGATGGTGCATACATTAATCATAGGTGTTGCTTACCATGGGGTTAAGAGTTTTTATTGTAGTATGAATATATCTCTCTCTTTCTCTTTCTCTCTCTCTCTCTCTCTCTCTCTCTCTCTCTCTCTCTCTCTCTCTCATTTCTTTTGTTTGTAAACTTTCTAGGTTTGATCCATATGGGAAGAATAAGTTCTCCACTTGCAGAATTTGTAAAAGTTCTGTACATCAGCCTGGTTCTCATTACTGTCAAGGTTGTGCCTACAAAAAAGGTAAGTTTTCTTTGAGTTAATTTTTCAATTTACATCAAATCTACTTGATTTGCTGTTGACTATGATAACAGAAAAGAGTAGCCTTTCATGAATTGTTAGTCAAATATTCTTTTTTCTAAGACAAAATAGAATTTAAAATATATTTGTAGTCAAAGAATGTTTCTTTTTTTCTCTGCTGTGAAGTTCTTAAAGATTCTACTTATTATCTCTCGGGGTGTGTGTGTGTGTGTGTGTGTGTGTGTGTGTGTGTGTGTGTGTGTGTATTTGTGAGACACACTTAGGCAACCACACAGAGGCCAAGAGAGGGTGTCATGTGTCTTCCTCCTCACGTTCTGCCTCCTCCTTCTTGAAGTGGGGTCTCCCTGAACCTGAGGGGGAAGCCAGCTGACCCCAGGAGCCCTCCTGTCACCATCCCACTTAGATCTGGAATTATGGGCATTTTCCAGGTTATGTGAATGTTGAACTTCAAACTCTAGTTTACATGATTGCAGAGTAAGTGCTCTTAACCATTGAGCCTTCTCTTCACACCTGCTAAGTAGTTTTAAGTTTAGATTAACATAAATAAAATTGGTTGCTTATGTGTTTTCTTTTTGTTTCAGGCATCTGTGCCATGTGTGGCAAAAAGGTTCTGGACACCAAAAACTACAAACAGACTTCTGTCTAGATGTTCTGGTGAACTCTCTGACTTTCTGTAGTTGTAATTTCTGCCTTGACTTTTCAAGGTATAACATGGATGTTCCATCTTACAAATAACCTGTTTCAAGATGAGTAATTCAGTCTAAAGCGGGGAAGTTGATCAATGTCCATGCATTTGCTATCATAAAGCTCTGAACAGCAATGTTATAACCAGGCTTCTGCCTTAAGAGGTTATTTTCCTTGTGAACTAGAATAAGTGACAAAATTAATGGAAAAGGTATTCTTGAGTTCTGTATGCACTTTCTGTTTAACATTATTCATATATTTCTTATCTGATCCATGTATTTTATTTATAGATACTGCAATGTGAAATTACTGGTACCGTGCTCTGAATTTGACATCCAGATTTAAAGTTCCTTCCTTACTCATAAATGTCACAATGCTTAGAATCAGCAGTTCCCTGTTTAATGCATTTTCATTAGCTATAAATATGAGACCATTATTGCTGAATGGTCCCTTAGTAACTAGTCCTGCCAGAAGTCAAACAAGGTGCGTTTTTTTATTGTAAATGTCTTGTAGCTAAAATGCCAGTCCCTCCCTTTCACCTGTAAACAAGAGCCCATGGAATGCCAATTTGTCCAGATGACTGCACTATATTTCAGAGAGATGCATTTTGTCCACATCTTCTTAAATTTAAGTGTCCTGAAAGCAGAGGGAGCGGTGTCTGTCCACATGTAGTGAGGATGAAGGTCTGCTTGGGTGTGTCCTTTGAAGCAGGAAACAAACCTTTTCTTACCCTGACCACCACCCCACCCCACCCAAAAAAATCAATAAAACAAACATTTGGCTCTGTGTGTGTTAATGATGTTGCTGTAGACTGCCAGGAGACTGTTCTGAGATTCAAATGAAGGTTTTTCTTCTATTACCTTTTCAGATTTATGCTTTCTACCTTTAAAACCCCCAGCCTATCAAGAGACCAAAAGGATATTCTGTTTTGAGCTGTAGTATCTTAAATACATATCTCTGTGTAATGTGGGAACCACTATAAATAATGAAAAAGTAGGTATTATTGTTTAAAAATTATTGTGAAGACCGAGTCTTCATTTTATCTACAAGATTTTTCAACGATGCTTTGTTATTTGTGTTTATCAGAAAGATTATAGAATAATGCAAAATACAAATGATATGTAGCTGGACAAAAAAATATCCTCCCATATTGTAATCAGTTTGGGTGGTTTGGGATTTGGTTTTTTGAGACAGGGTCACTGTGCATACCCTTGGCTGTCCTGCAGACCAAGCTGGCCTCTCTGAGCATTGGGATTCTTAAACCAAATTTAAATACAGAGAAAGAAGTCATAGCAGGACCCAGCCAGGCACATCTGTTGACATGCTGAACCCTTAGAGCAATTACTTACTCTCCAGTAAATTTGCCCTCCCACCAGACCTGTGGTTATTCTTCCAATGTCACTGGTTTAAGTTTAAGCCTTCTGGGCAAGCCCACAAGACAGTGTATGTGTGTTTTATTTATCAGTCTGTTCATACAGGGGACAGCTTAGTAATTTGTATGCTTTTGCTTCCTCCCAGGTCACCTTAGGGAATGTAGTGCTTCTAAAATTCAACCAATATTCATTGGATTTCTGTTTTATTCTTACCTCTAGGCAGTCTGCTCATTCCAGAATGTGCATATAAAGTAAGAGTCTGAGCCTGCTTCAAAGCAGTGATTTTAGTTAGCCAAACAATAAAATTAAAAGCTGTACTAAGGTAATGGTAAGTGAAGGGAAATAAAGAATGAGTTTGAATCCTAGTGAGAAATTGGCAGGCTGATTTCTTAGTGGAACTGCTGGCCTCACAGTGGACCATTTTCTGTGTGGTAAAGTAGGCATTTCCACCAGATGGCAGCGATGCTCTGCTTTTTAAAATGCTTGTAGTTAAAGTCACTCAAAGACTAAATATGTGACCTTGAGTTCCCAACAAGCCTGAAGAAGCCAGAGAAGTTTATCATAAAAGATTTAGAATCTGGAAAATAACAGTTGTTAAGGCACTTGGCTGGATACCTGAAGCCCTGGCTTTGGTTATTAGTACCATGTCCACTTGGTGTACAGATTCAGCCTTTCCGTGGTAGAGACAAGGATTAGAGGCTAAAGGTCATCCTTCATTAACATGTAAGAGTTCATACAGCTCTTACCCAGGGCTGCTTTTGCTTCCCAGCAAGTACATGGTGACTCAACAGCCTCCACATAAATAAAAATCTTTAATTCTGGAAAATATATTTAAAATGATATTAAACATAATCTTCAGACCAAAGGTGGAAAATATCAGAAAACTAATCCAGCAACACAAGACACTAATGTTTTGTGATCAGTGAAGGTATGTATATTCTAGCAATTCAAGGTTGGATTTTTAAAACCTATTAAAGGTACATACATTAGAAAATTAAGACTTTGTGATGATCTCAAAGTGTAGAAAAACTACTTGATTTAAGTTCAGTGGTTGGGGTCTGGGCCCAGCAGTTAACACTTGCTCCACAATTGTAAGGGACAGAGTTCAGATGTCCAGCACCCACTAAGGAAACTAGGTATTTCCCCCGCAAATGACTATAATCCCAGGACCAAAAAAGGACAAAAGTAAGATGTTTGATATGGTTTCCATCCCAATAAATCCATTATATGCTGCAAATGTCATAAATACACGTCATAGAGCCAGGGAATGAAATCAGCTTACACTGGTGTGTCAATGCCCACCCCCACACCCTATGATGGGGGGCTCTGGCTGAGACCTGCAGCTTCCTGCTGCTGCCCAGTGTCAATATTCCAAATCAAGTACAGTTTCTTCTGAATGCATAATGCTTCCTAGTCAGAAGATTTGAAGTCAAGCATCACTGGCCTAGGGAAACTTGAATCTGCCTCGATCTCTCAAATGCTGGGATGAACAAGGCATGCACTTCCATGCCTGGTGTGTCTTGTACAGTTTTTTGGTTTTTGGTTTTTGTTGTTTTATTTTGACACAGGGTTTCTCTATGGTTTAGGAAGCTGTCCTAGAACTAGCTCTTGTAAACCAGGCTGGCCTCACTGTACAGTTTCTTAAAAAGCTTTTTTTCTCCCTATAGACTCTGCCCTTTCAGGTTGCTTTTCTCGTTTCTACCTCCCTATTTCTGATTAGAGGTTTCCTCACCTTTCTGGTCATTTGTGTCCACACAGACTCCACAATGGAGAGACCATTGGTAGGCTAGCTGACCACATGTGAAATGTGAGGTCAGCTTTCCTGGCAGTATTACTGAGTGATGTTTTTGACTGGGGAGAGAGTGAATCATACTTTAATATCTCTCATCTGGATGTTAAAGTGGAGGGAAAACGCCTACAGTCAGTGTCCAGTCACAGGCTCTGCCTGCTTTTAAGGGTCTGTGCTCACCAACAGTGGTGTGTAGCAAAATCTGGAGCCTGTGCCTCTAGACTTTGGACATAGTATGGGAAGGATAAACTCCTCTACCTGTCCTTCATCCAACCAGTGTTCTTTAAGTCAGTTTTCCAGCCCCCTTCCAGAGGTGCCATACATTCTTGAGCCTGTTAGCACTCGGGTGTGTGCTAAACTTGTTCCTATATTTACTTAATGCCAATTGCTGTTTGGCTTTCCAAGTGTGTCTGGCTTGTTTCTCCACCCACTCAAAGTTGGGTCCTTTGATACCTTCTTTCACTATCTTTAGGGTTCATGCCATTTCCCCTCAAAATACCAATAATGTAGTTTTTCTAATCAAAGTTAGATATGTTTTATTTTGTTAACTTTTCCCAGAAATGTTAGTATCATGTATGTTTATAGTTTCATCATCTTCCTAATGTTCTCCAGATACACTCATCTCTGTCTGTTTTGCTATCTATCTGTCTAGCTGTCCACCTACCTATCTAACTTGTGGTACTGGAGATCGTCCTCACAAATGATAGACAACCAACCAACCTAATAATTAGATTTTGACTTAAAAAAAAATAAAAATCATCTAATGGAAGAAATGGTGGAGACAAAACAGAGGCTGTCGGCAGGGAATGAAGAGAGATGTTAATGGGGGTATGAGAAATTAACTTAGGTTGAAGTTGAATGTGTAAAGAGAATATATATAATAGAGAGAAGGGAATATGCATAAGATAATGCCCTTAGTATAGTTACTCCTTTCATCTAAGTGTTTTACACCTCAAATTAGCAGTTTTCCCTGATCCCAGAACCAAGTCGGCTTCCTGATGTGGCATCTGGCCTCTGATAAAAGCATCCAGGCTTCTTTGTAAAATAAGGACACTGTATATTGGCCAGTGACCAATATACCCTCAAAATATGGTTTCACAGAAGTCTGCTGTGGACCTCCAAAGAGTTCCTAATTTTTCTCAAAGAATTTAAAATCTTTCTACATTGATTCAATCGTTCAGGGTCAGGCATGAGGAAATTACAGCTCCAGGGCCAGGTAACTATTTTGACAAAGTTGCACTGAAACATAGTCACAAACATAGTCATTAGGACATTTATTGGCTGCTTTCTTGTAAGATGACAGAATTGCAAAGCCTAAAATATTTACTACTTGTTCCTTAAAATAAGATTGTTGTCCTGACTCCTATCTTGTAGAAATGATCAGTATATTTGGAAAACTGAGTAGATATGAAAGGTTAATGGCTGCCCAACAGTGATTCAACATTTTCCCAGACTATTCTTATTGTTTTCTAAATTCCCTAATGACCTCATGGATTAATGTTGGGGCCAGAAGTTGCTCAGACATCTCTGAAGATTATCTACTGGCATGAGTTGAAGCACACATTCTTGTGCATTCATGAACTAAACTATCAGTGATTTGATCCACATGACTGTTTGCAGCTTAGCACAAATGTACTTAGACTTTTCTGGTTATTTACTCAAAGGTCATAATTTCTTGCTACATTCACTCAATAATAATAGTGTGTGGTTATTTCCTATGTGATCTAGAATTATGGGCTTTCTCCATATTCAGCCTTCTGGTTTGCTTCCATGACCTGAAATTGGCCTTTGGGTGATGTGGTCATATTACTTTTTCACAGCTGCAGAAACATAATCCTTTCTCATGAGTCGGTGGGCCAGAAAGCCTCCTACAACCCATGCAGTCCTTATTTTATGAAATGAATTGTAACTCCGTTTCTCTGCGGATTATTTGCAATCAACCTGTGTTTTAAGGTGTTTACCCCATGCTCAGATGAACACAGTCAGCTAAAGTGGCCCATTTGGAACAAATAAGCTTTGCCCAAAGGTTTAATCATAAAAATGCATTGCTTACAAAAGGTCTGATCCAGCATCTAGAGCCTCACACATGCTTAAAGACTCCTGCGCTTGGTACATAGATCCCGTAAAGCACTGTTCCCTTCTCTCCAAGGAGCAAGGGAGAAGAGAACAGGCAGCTTTTGCATTTGGAAGGACCCTCCATTGACTCTTGATTCCCTCAGCACATGTGGATGAATGGGAATGGAATCTTATTGCCTGGGCATGCAGTGGCTCAACTCGATATTTTGAGTAGAAGAAAAAGTGTGTTTATGACCACCAACTTGAAAACACAGCCCATCGCTGCTCCTAGGAAGTTGGTCCTGAGTCAGGGCCAGGCCAGCTGCTCTCCGTTCCCCTCCTACTTCTGGGGCAGTCTACCCACAGCTGGCCTATTACAGCTTGCCTTGCAGCCACAGCCTTGGTCCTTTCTTAAGTTTCCACCTGCTCCTTCCTAATCTAACCACAAAGCCTTCTTTGTCACCCAAAGGCCTTGCTAGGTGTCCTGTTGCTCTGTGCCCTACAGCCTGCATTTCCGCATCATAATTTGAGG